GAGACCTAGTCTCCTTCTGAGCTTCTTCCCAGCTGAGTCAAACCTCTCAACTGACTCAAGACTTTCCAGTCAGCCTCTTTCAAACCAACGGAGCTCTCCCAAACTGAGTCAAGCCTTTTATCTCAAGCCACCTCCACGCCTCCCCAAGCAGCTGCTGTCCCATAACCCTCAAGCAGAGTCAAGTCTCTGCTTATATCCCCCTTCAGGGTAACTGCCTTTCAAACCCAATTGGTCCATTTTCTAAACCTGCTTCCAAGACTTAATTGGTGCTAGTGTAAACTTGAACCTAATTGGTGCCACTGGGAGCTCAGACCCCGTTCATTTTCAAAACCAGCTGAGATTCAAAACCAAAATGCTGATAGTGCATCCAGTCTGCCCTGCACCATCTCCTGCCAGAGCTGGCAGGCAAACCCTGCTGTATCTGAATGGCACTGGCCAGGTTCAAACTTGACCCATGTGTCTCTAAAACTGTTGCTAACCACATGATGCAGCAGACCTCTCCTGTCTCACCCACTGCTCCCCCTCAGGTATATTTCAGTCAGTCTGCCTGTTCTGCTCCCTACTCTGTCTCTGGTGAATCCTTTCAACCCAGCACCTCTGGCCTGTATCCCAGTTCTTGTATGCATAAATAAAATAAATTAAAAAAAAAACAGATGCATAAAATGACCTAACAGGGCAATACAAAGTTAAACACTGAATTTATCCATATATTTGGAAAAGACTGTTCTCTTTTCATCTCTCCTTTTAGGTATGAGTAGGCTTTGTGAGCTATTATTTTTACTAAAAAAAAAAAAACCATGTTGGCTCCTATTGACATGGTCACACCAAAGATTTGTAAATTCTTCTTTCTTTTCTAGAGTTTGTGAGACCAAGTTTCATTCTTAGGGAGCCATCACCAAAACCTTCTGTACACATTTCTGTCTGCTGTGTAATATGGTGATATGAAATTGTGTTTCTTTCCTCTTGCTTCTTTCTGCATGTTAGTTTACTGAGAAAATGTAAATCTCTGAATGTGTGAGGTTTTACCTGAGATTTATCTCTGTATATTATGTACTCAAATTCATGATGTCTTCAGAAAAACTATGAATTATTTACTATGTGGGTATATACATGCATACAAATGTATGTATATGCCTCAACATACACACATACACATACACACATACACACTTTTGATAATATGGAATTAGTTGAAGAGAACAACTTTCTATAGATTCCTTTACTGGTCAGAATCAATTGCTGAAAGACCCTTGACAATCTGAGGATAATTTTCTGTTCATGACTGATAACAGACACTTAGAAAGACAGCTGAAAGTGTGTGTACCTCGTTCTTTCTCTGCAGACCAATGTTCTCTTCTTCTCTGGCCCACCCAGCAAGTTTACATCTCTTCTGTTCCAGAAAGCAGCTGTAGAGAGTCTAGTATGTATTTAAAATCTTCTCAGGAGAGTCTAGCTGATTAGCCTGGCTTAAAATGGGGGCCCACACAACGTCCAATAAGCTAGGCCAGTGGGTGAAGACACATCGTGGAAAATGGCTGCCAAGTGTCCATTGGGTTTGTTGGGAGGAGGGCCAATGGGTCAGGCCTTCACACACAGCCGAACAGTGCTGTTGCCATGTTCCATGTGGCCAGGGTTCACTCATTCCACCGAAAACACCCTAGCACCCCAGGCAGCTTCAGTCCTCAGAATTCAGGCTGGCAAGAATGGTCATCTTTAGTCCAGCCCAGAACTTGCTGAGTCCCCATTTCACACTCCAAGACTCACCTTTTCCTAGGATGGCTACAAGTTTAATTTATATTTCCATCAGGAGAAAACCCAGAAAGATGATCACATAGAAGTTTAGCATCAGTGATTCCCCAATATCCACATTCTTCAGTTCTGAGTGATGTCACACACAGACATCAAGAGTACAGACCAGTTGGACATGATTCTTCTTATTCTCAAGGATTCAAGAAGTCTCATTTAACCCAAGGTCATCTTATTACATCCAATTTTGCATTTTTATTTTCACCTGTTGTAGCATATGCATTCTCCCATACCTTAAGAATGCCTCAATATTTTAATATTCCAGCATATGACTGTTGCATAATCTACTTCACCCATCTCCTTCTGTTGGACATTATATTCCAGTATATTCTGGTTGCTTCTGGTTAACTCCATAACAAACAACTGTGTGCCTCAATATCTATGCATTTTTTATTATGTCTGTGGTGTGGATTTCCTAGTAACTGGAGGATCTATTTCACCAAATTGAAATGAAGGACACAATCATTTTATCTAATGTTCTAGTCACAATGATTCTAAGGCTGTTCTGGTTCAGACTGGCAGGGAGCATAGTCTTTCTTCGGGGGTTTCCCTCCTCAAGGAGACTCGGGGGCGGGGAGGGGGTCCCTGAGGGATGTGGCCATGTGCTGTAACTCTGTTTCTGGTATCCTGACACCTCAGCCCAGCTTCTCTGCCCCAAGCCACCACCTCTGCCTAAGTTTGCATTCCCTGAACAAATTTGCTCCTAACACATACAAGTCCTACCAACATACCACCATCCCATTATGGCATCTGCCCACTGGTGGATGTTTCCAGTATATTCCTTCCTCTTTAGGGTCTCCACTTCTCTCCCTAGAGCTTTTGACCCAGCTCATCTCCCATTACTGGAGGGAGTTTCCCCCTGGAGGGCTTTCCTCTTATGCACCCTCCAGTCCTTCCTACCCCTGGAGGTTGGACAATGGGGAGTTTTCTATGGAAACTCCTACACTAAGTTCACACATGGTCCAAGAATACACAATTGCTACATCTTCAATGATGGGGACATCAAGAATTCAGTCAAGATCTCTTCAAAGAAAACACTGCCTTTCATGACACTATCTAAATTAGCTAATTTGCACAACTAAACAGACCCTCAGCCCCTTGGCCTGTGAAATAGCATTTGGCTCCATGGTGAACTCACACCTTTCCCCCAGAACACTGAGCCAGTCTGACCTTCCTGGGACTAAATGTCCTGTCTGGGCGAATTTCCTAATGCAAAGGGCATCTTCAAAATAATGCCAGCAGTGGGCCTCCCTGGTAGCGCAAGGGGTTAAGATGCAGCCTATGAAGCTTTCCACAGCCACTGCAGCATGAGTTCGATCTCCGGCCAGGGATCTACCCACACGGCGCAGCAGACCTCTCCTGACTCGCCCGCTGCTCCCCTCAGCAGTGTATTTCAGTCAATCTGCCTGTTCTGCTCCCCGCTCTGTCTCTGGTGAATCCTTTCACCAACCCCCCACACCTCTGGCCTGTACCCCAGTTCTTGTATGCATAAATAAATCTTAAAAAAAAAATAATGTCAGGGGCCTCCCCAGTGGCGCAGAGGTTGAGCGCTGGGTTGCGAAGCTGCCCGCAGCTGGTTCAGTTCCCGGCTGCTCCCCGGCCACCAGAGGAGGGTCCCACATGGCGCACAGACCTCTCCTGCCGCCCGCTGCTCCCCTCAGCAGTGTACTTTGGTCCTTCTGCCTGCTCTGCCCATCCCCCCTGCTCTGGCTTTGGTGAATTCTCTCACCCTCCCGCGCTTCTGACTGTACCCAGTGCTTGTATAAATAAAAAAATAAATCTTAAAAAAAAAAATAATGTCAGCAGTGTCTTTTCATCCTGAAATCAGAACTGCCAACTAGTCCCAAACATAGCTCACTTGCTAAAATTAATAATGAATCATATTTCTTGTTGTGGGGTACCCCACTTCACCCCAGGGGAGCATGAGTGCATCTTCTGGCATGTGTTTTATTTCAGGGATTGCAAACTCACTGCTGGGCTCTAGCCTGCTCACAGAAATGCTCTCTTTGGCTCATAATTCAGAATCTTAGTTTTGAACTGGTTGCCAGTATTTCATCAGGACATTTTAAATAAAAATTTGCATGTCTACCTTCTGCCTTGAGAAAGCCTAAAGAAAAGGCAACACAGAACTTGCTTTCCCCATGGAAGCTACTGCCTGGAGGAGAGTGAAGGATCCCCCTGAAGACAGGGCTCCCAACTCCCTAGCCTTCCCTATTGCCTCTACCCTGGTTAACCTTCATCCTTGGACTTGTCCTTGTTTTATTTAACCCCTGCTTACATTTCATAGATTTGCATCGCTTGTCTGGCCTCTGGCTTTTCATTTGTGACCCTATTTTAGGACTTCAGAGACAATCACCAAAATGTTTGAGAGAGGAAGCAGTCATTTTCTTGGGGACCTTGGTACTCAACCTTGGTAGCCCTCGACTTTGATGTTATTTTGGTCTGACTTAATGAGCAATTATTGAGCACTTGCTGTGTGCAAAGGCAAGAAGCTGGGTCAATGGGAAATCACTGGGTTATCAGCAAGCAGATACCTGGTAGCTGAAGCCAGGGTGTGCGAGAATTTGCCAAAGGAGGGTAAACAGAGCGTTGTGCTGCTTAAAGGTCAAGTCAGATAAAATTTGACAGGCTTCCTGTCAGGAGTGACAGCATGTTCAGAGGGGTGATGGCAGGAGGGCAGACCACAGTGTGCTGTAGCGGAGTGGATGGTGAGGGTGGACAGGCAAGTAGCAAGTGTAGACAACAGCTCTGAAAGAGTTGGGTTCAGAGGGAGGAGTGTGGGCACTGGTCCTGGTGTCTAGACTGTTTCTGGAGGGCTACAGAGGGGTAAGTTTGTAGGGCCAGGGGGGGGACTTGTCACTGATGCATGGACATGCCTGAGTCGTTCTCCTTGAAGCATCAGCTCTCTGTAGAGATCTTTGAGGCCTTCTGGAAACTAGACTATGATGTCCTGGGCACCTGATAGGGGAGTGTTATGGTCCTTATTAAGACACCAGAAATGCACACACAGAGAAAAGATGTGTGAGAACACACAAGAAGATACCTTCTGCAAGACAGCCTCAGTGGAAATGAGGACTGCCAACACCCTGAGCTTGGATTTCCTGCCCTCGAACAGTGAGAATCCATTCCTGTCGTCTAAGTCACTCAGCCTGTAGTTTTCTGCTCTAGTGATCTGAGCAGACTAATATAGGGAGAGACAGGAGGAGGTGAGAAAAGAAGCAAGGGTTTTATGCTGAAATCACCAGCCTTGGAATGCTGATACAGAAAAAAAGAAAAACATATTAAGCAAGACCAAGAAGATATGTCCACTCAGAGGATGGGCTTTGGATTTAAAGAGACCCAAGTTCTTGATCCAGTCATATAACCTTCCTGAGTTCCAGACTTTTATTTGTAAAAAGGAGATAACAAAACTCAGCTCTGAGGGTTGATGTGAAAGTCACATGAAAACATGAAACGGAATTTGTAAAAACATTGGGACATTGGGACCTAGTAAACATTAATGATTGTTACTAGGAAAAGTCCTGTGTAAATAGTCTGTTATTTTGTTATTATTATTGAGAGATAAGTAAGTTTCTGGGGCTTAAGTGTCTGCATTCACACCTTGTAATTTGGTGAGGAATGGAGTGTGCATGGAGGAATAGGGTGGATACAGGCTCATATATAGAGCTCTGTACTGACTCAGGTGTAGGATTACAATGAAATGCAACTCTAGGAAACCAAACTAAGCGAGGATGACCCATGTGATGTTGGCACCCAACATCATGCATGGCACATAGTAGACAGATGAAAAGTATTGGTAAATCCATTTATGAAGGAAGAGAGCTCACTGAGAATGTTAAGACTGAACATTAATAACTATATGTTGATGGGTATACTAGTCAACCCTCTTAGCATTGCAAGTGACAGAAACTCATTCAACCCCGCCTAGCCCAAAAAATTAAAATTTTAAAATATTACAAATGGAGGGTGAATTTGTTGGCTCAGACACTGACAAGTCCAGGTATCTGCTTCAGGCATTGCTGGATCCAGGGACAAAGAGATATGTGGAGTGATCCCTCTTCTTCTCACCTGTATTGACTTTTCACCCAGGCAATACTTTCCAAACAGTTGTTCCGGAAGCTCCCTTCAGGCATCTACCCTCGAGATACTCAGAAATTCACCCAGAAGACAAGGAGCTTTCCTTTCCAAACAGCCCTGAGTCTTGAATTTATTCTGTGCCACCCAGCCAGAGCTATGAGACCATCCTTATTCAGCAACACTCCAGAGTCTGGAAGTAGGGGAGGGAAAATTTCCCAAAGGAAAAACAGAGCTTTCCCCGCTGCCCACTGGAGGGAGTGTGCCTGGAGGTCAGGTGTCTCCTGAGTGACTGAGTAAGAGAGTGAGGAGCCTGCCACCTGGAGGACACATGGAGCTGGGAAGTCAGAGTTGTGGGAGGTGCAGGCAGGAGCAGGGCCACTGAGGATCTTAGAGACTGGGATCTGTACCAGGGATCCCAAAGGATCCAGGGACAAAGGGAGCTGGCCAAGGGAGCATATGGTAGACTGGCTGCAAAAACAGCCCTGATTCTCCACCCTCTCCTGAATCCACACCCTCTGCAATATATTATACCACATCTCTCATCAAGATGGAGCCTGTTTCCCCACCCTCAGAATCTGGGCTGGCCTGCCTGGTCACTTGCTTTAACAATAGAATGTGGCAGGCGAGACGGTATGCCAGTTCTGAGCTCAGGCTCCCAGACGCCTTCTGTGCCTCTGCTTGTCCTCTGGAACTCCTGTTTCCACCCTGCCCCCTACTCCATGTGAACCATCCGGCCCATGAGGCTGGAGGATGAGGGACCACAGGAAGCCCCAATTGTCCCAGTCATGGTCCCAGTCATGGGAGAGAGCTCTGTGTGATTAGCAAAGCTGCCTGGAGACTCACAGATGACTGGGATACACAGGTGAGTCCACTGAGTCCAGCTCAGGTCAGTATGGCCCAGGGGACCCAACGACTCAAGAGCATTAAGTGGCTGCCATTTTAAGCCACTGAGTTTTGGGACAGTTTGTGACACAGCATAGTGTGGCGAATAGAAAACCAACACAAGACATATTAGGGAGAAAACCTAGCTAGTGCTTGACTTGCCAACCTGCACCTACTGGCATGGGGCTGGACAGAGCATGTGTTTCTAACTTGTTGGAAAATACCATATTGGCTTCCTGGGGCTGAGCAGTCACTCCTACTCATAGCCTGGTGGAGTCTATAACCTTTATGCAGCTCACATGGGGATTTTAGCAGAACTTCTGACATATTTTTCAAAGACACAGGCTTTGGGAACTTATGGAAATTAGCCAGCTTGAGTTGCTAGGAGAAAGGACGTCACTAGCCACATCTAGATGGCCCCCGGCCCCCGGAATTACACATTTTGGTTCAGTCATTTGTGAGATAGTGGCAAGTGGGGGACAAACAAAGGACATACAAGGCCTCAAAGCGGGGCCTGTGGGAGACTGAGAACTGACTGGGCCCCAAATCCTACCCAGGACCTACATTAGCCATGAGATCATAGTTGGAGAAAAAGAATCTCAGAGGTGGGTTTATTGCCTGTCTTCTCTGGAAAAAATTTAAGGGAAGAGGTAACAGAAAGTTGCTTGAAGCAGGATTTGCCATTTGTAGTACAGAAAGGATGAAACCAGCTAATGCACCCTCCCTGCCACAGCCCCCCTGCTGCTGGTATCAAGGACTCCCTCCTCAGTGCCAAGGGCTCCAGAGACACACATAAAATGACCGCTGGGATGTCCTAAATTGTGTCATCTGCCCCTAGGCCTGCTCTGCTCACGTGACTGATCCCAGGGCAAGTTACCTACCCCAGGTAGGTAATCAGTCATCACATCCTGCTCAGCCACCACCTAAACATCTCTGCCTCTACTTTGAGGACCCCCACCCCATTCTGCTTCCCCACTTCAAAATGAGCATGTCTAGCCTGGAATAAGTTAATCAGGTGGATAAATACCTCGATTCTGCAGTCTGGCATAGAGGCTCTTCCAAAACCAAACCTTCCCAATATCCCTTCCCCACATTCTGGGCTGCAGGTAACTTCCAGCTCCCAGGCTCAGGCCAGGAGGGCATGCTCCCAAGCCTAGGCAGGACCTGCAGGCCTTATCATGCCCTTAGATGTGGTGTGCTCAAGGGCGTGTCTCCTCCCTTGGGGTCCTGGGTCCACAAGGTCTGTGCTCCGAGAGTGTCCTCTGGGCTCAGAAGGGACGTTCAGATGTCCTCTTGCCTGGGCAGGTGTGCTCTGCAGAACTCTGCCCAGGGAGGGTGGCAGCCACTTCTTCATCTACCTATTGGGATTGGTCATAGTCCCCCTTCCCTAACTGAAACTTCCCAAGGGCACACACTGGATGGAAGGGGACCTGGTGTGAGGCTGGGGTGAGGGTCAGGAGAGCAGCAGCTGGAAGGGGCTTTAATGGCCACAGTTCCTGCTCCCCTGGGGACTCAGCACATCTGCCCATTCCCCAAACACTCGGCCCCAGAGAGGGTGGTCCCTCTGAACCCTGCACCTCTATGGGCAGCAGAGTTGGACAGCTGAGGTAGCTGGAAACTTGGGGGTGACCCAGTCCATACCAGGATGCTCCAGGGTTATGAAGGGCGGGCAGTGGGCTCGGCGGGATGGAGTCAAGGTCCCAGCTGGAAGTAGCATGAAGGGTTGGGGGCGGGACTCCTGGGACCTTGGCAGCCTCTCTGGGGTCCAGCCTCCAGCGTCAGTGTCCATCTGGGCTCTCCGACCGCACAGGGCATGGGGCCACTGCCATCACCAGGCCAGGGGCGAAACCATCCCAGAACTGCGTGTGCCCTCGCCGGCCTGCAGGTCACTGAGTGCTCGCTGGAGAGGGAGGAGTGTGCGGGAGGGTTGGTCAGTGGTCCCAGGAGCCCCTAGACAACCCCCTGCTTCATCTTTCCACTCCAGGAACCAAGACAGGGACCTACCAGCTCCACGCCAGGTGTGTGGGGATGTCACTCACTGGGGCACTTTCCCAACCCTCTTTTTCCCCGGGCTCCCACCTCTCCTAAGGGGCCCCTCAGGCCTCCCACCAGGGCTCACCTCAAACTTGCTCATAAATTCAGCGAAGATGCCAAAGAAGGCCTCGGAGGTGGTGGCTTTGGAATCCTCGCCAAAGAAGGCCAGAGCTTTGCCCAGCTCCTCTGTGGCATCCCGCTGCAGCCCGTCCAGCGCCCGCAGCGCTGGCTGGGCTGTCTCCAGGAAGGCCTGATGGGGCTCTGTTAAGGGCACTGCCAGCCTTCTAGGTGCTCCCAAGTTCCTGGCAGTGACCCTAGGCCCTGCTGCCCTCCAGGCCCTGTGTTCAGCTGGGTACCAGCCTGGCTGAGAGGCTCCAGTCCCTCGGCTGCCCAAGCCTATCATGAAAGCTGCCACTTTCAGTGCAATCTCAGGCCTCTCGCTTGCTCTCTTCCCTCTGGGCTCTGCTCAGGTGCCTCTTTCCCAACCACTCCTTTGCAGTAGCCCCATTACTCCTCCAGCTCTAGGCCCCTCTCTGCCTCACATCTGTCCCTCTCTGTGCGGAGTGGGAGGCTTCCCCCCTCCTGCCTGCTTTTGGCTGGCCCGGTCCTGACAGGCCTCTCTTTGTATCTTGAGACCTCAATCTAGGCTCTACTGTAAGAGGATGGATGGGGCAAGGCAGTGGCTCTAGAACAATCAAAAGAGCTCATCCTGTTACATAAAGACCTGGCATACATACTTAGATGATAAATGACCCAGACAGACCCTCTTGTAGGACCCAGAGCAGCCTCTGCCCAGACCTCTGCAGTGGCCACTGGAACATCAACAGACAGAGCCAGCTGACCACCAGTGCTGGGACAGTTGCTGGAGGATACCGCCATGACCACAGCAAACTTGTCCTCACTGGAAGGGGACATGCTCTGGCAGGCAGCCTGTATCTCATTGATGGTGCCATGGAGGTCAGCCAGGTCACTGGTCAGGGCCCGTTGGTTCACTGTAGGGGAGGGCACAAAAGTCTTGTGGGGCTGCCCTTCCAGCTAGCATAGTAGAGTCTCTGCCCCCTTGTGTGCCCACACAACCTACCTTTGGCAGCCAGGGGCACGGTGGGCAGGTCCTGAGCAAAGCCCAGAAGTTCTGGGAAGTGCTGGCTTAGAGATTTGGCAAGGATGTGCAGGAAGGTGGACTTCCCATCCACTGTCTTGGTGGAGTTCAGCTGCAAGTGATGCCCAACACAGATCTCTTCAAGGACCCCATCAGATTCCTTATCATCTGGGCCCTGCTTCTTGGGGATATGGCATCAATTCTGGGCTCTTGACACTTGCTAACTCCAAAGCTGGTAAACTGGTTACCAGTATTCCTTACTGTGAAGCTCTGGGATGCCACAGGCCTCCCAGGAGTTTGAGAGTTCCCTGGCCCAGATGTTTGAGGCCCCAGGAAGCAGGCCCACTGCCTCTGCTTCCTGGTTGTTCTGTCCTTATGAGTTTTTCCTTATCAGCAGCTATAGCCCAAGCGTCTCTGACTCCAGGGGGGCGAGGAGCATCACTCACAGATCTTCCCTCTTACACTTTCTGGAGATATCGGCGACCCATTTGAGCCTCAGTCACCCTAAATCATTCATATTACAAATGGGGTTTTTCTTTCTCTTTTTTTAGAAATAATAAAAGGAAATAATAAAAGGCAACCTGGGGAAAAGTCCCAGAAGCCCTGGGGAAGCTTGGATACTTGAGCTGTCCTTTCTCTGACCCTATATCTTTCAGCGGTAAGACTGGCAGGTCAGTGGTGGTGGTGGTGCTGAGACACAGAATTTACCCAGAGGATGCTCCCCCTTGCCTGCCCTCACCCCCCACTCCATTTTCCTAGATCCTGAGACTTGGCCTGGAAAAGCCCTTCCCACCCACGCATGCACCATGCACAGCCTTTGCTGTCTCCCATCCTAGCTGTTCTCTCCTCTCCCCTCAGCTTAGGTGATGCCTGGCCTTCCAGCCTCAGCAGTAGAGCAGGCTAATCAATCACTGTTGACTGGCCCCCTCACCTCTGTCAAGAAGTTGATCTTGAAGCCTGTGGTCTTGTTGGTTTTGGGCTGTCCATCGTTGAGATAGTTGCCCATGGCTAACACAAACTGCAGACAGGAAGGAGGGTGGGTGTCCTGTCCAGGTCCTCACCCACCCCCAGCCCCTGGCCCACTCTCAGGATGGGCCTTCCAGGCTGGAAGCCCCACAGGGCAGTGGGGCAGGTGAATTGACCAGGGATGGGCTTTGTCTCACCTCCAGGATCTTGGCAAGTTTCCGGCTGTTCTTGAGTTCGAGGGAGGCCTGGCGCAAGCACTCCAGGCTACCCCGGATCTCTTCTGTCTTCTCTGGTAGGGTGGCCCGGAAGTGGAGGCTGCGCAGGCGGGTCTTGTATTCAGGAACAGACAGCATCTACCCAGGAGACAGGGCGAGCCTTCATCCCTTCCTTCACCCCCACCCCAGGAAGCCCCTGCCCCACCGCAGCCGAGAGAGAGGGTCCCCTGGCTGCCTGGTGTAGCTTACAAAAAAGAAATAAGCACATCTAGGGGGAACCCTCATCCCATCTGCCCTGGACCCGACGGGAGCTGGTGTCAAAGGTTAAGTAAAACTGGTTCTCAAAGGCGTGAGCTTGGTGGCGGTGGGAGAAGGACCCCCTCAGCCTCGGGGCGCAGCGACGGCCCTGATGGAGGCGGCCAGACAGCAGCCCCTGACCCCGGGCGGGGGTCACGGCTGCAGCACCTGCAGGACGAACTGGTCTGGCTCGCTGAGGCGGCCGGGCGCCTCGCGGAAGGCCTGGTAGCGCTGCTCCTCGTCGGCGTCCGGCGCGAAGAGCAGCAGCTGCGCCAGGTGCGCGGGCTCCAGGCGCCGGGGCTCCATGCTCATGAGCACCTGCCGCAGCTCCGCGGGGCTCAGCTTCAGGTGGGCCAGCAGGATGGCTGCGGGCCGGACCGCGGGGTGAGCCGGGGGCGGGGCTCTGGCTCCGGGGCAAGGAGTCGGGGCGGGCCAGGAGCCCGCCGGGCAGGCTCGGCACGGCCTTTCTCGCGACCGATCGAAAGGGGGCGAGGGGACTCTCGAGCAGAGAGACCCAGAAATAAGTGGGACCAGGAAGGAGAGGGGCCGGCGAGGGCAGGTGGGAGATGAGGTTGGAGGCGGGGCGTGACCCGGGAGACGCTCACAGCCGCGAGCGGGGCCAACCCGGGCCGGGCGGGGCGTGGCCCGAGGTGGACCTCTGCGTCCAGGTGGGATTTGGGTGGCAGCGGGACCTGGAAGGGGGTCTTCATCTAGACGGGCGGCAGGGGTCAGGGCCCCCACGCTGAATCCCCCAAGGCGGATCCGAGAATCTGCGGCCCAGAAGGAGGGGCGCCTCCTGCCCCCCACAACCCTTTGAACTTCCCGGCCCCTCACAGGTGTTGTAGGCCTTCTTGTGAGACAGGATCTCCACCACCTCCTTCTTCCTGAAGGGTTCAGGCCGGGGCACCGGCTCTGAAAGAGAAACTGATGGTTTAATAAGGGGGGGCTATGCGGTGGCTGCCTGGGAGGGCCAGGAGGGAGTAGGACCACAGCCAACAGCTTAGACTCGCTGCATCCCACAGCCAGGAACTGAATCAAGCTCAGGCACCACAGTCCCCTCATTCTGTCATCTAAGGCTCAGTCAAATATACTCAGCGTAGTGGAGCATGTGACACCCCTCCCCCAGCCTCTCCCCTAGGCCACTGGCACTGAGCTGGACAAGCAAGGAGAACCAACCACCTCTCACTTTTTCAGGTGCTTCCTGGTTGGACAGAGGCCTTTATCCTCAATCCTGGACCAGGTTCCACATAATCCCTGCCTGGAGGGCAAAATCTATAGGGACACACCCAGGAAGGGGCAAAACTAGAAGGGATATTGTGGATGCCACTTGACCACATTATTCTCGCTGTGTGACTTTGAGCAAATAACCTACCCTCTCTGTGCTTCCTCATCAGGGAGTTGAGGGATCACAGTTCCTATCTCAGAGTTGTCACAGGATTAATTTTGAAATGAGGGTATCTAGCATTTGGCAAGCATGCAGTAAGTGCCAGCTTATTTGGGGGTTCTGAGAAGCCACAAAACTTGGGGGTACCATAAGTAAGTGAGAGTGCAGACCTCGGGGACTTTAAGGCTGGGTGCCACAGAAGGCAGTGGGTGGGCTTCTACAGAACTGGCATCTGGGTTCCCCCACTCACTAGCAGGTTTCTGGGTGCCAAAGTGGAGCTCCAGGTCGAGGTATTTCACCATGTCGCTCAGCTTATCATAGTCAGAGTCTTCCCCAAGCTGTGAGGAGTGGGGGAGGGTCAGGGTGAAAGGAACACTGGTACCTGGTCTGCTGTCTCCCCCTCCTACCCACTCTCTGAGGGCTGCACTGGGAGCTCTTGGAAGAACACCCATCCGGCTCTGGGGTACACTGGGGGCACACTGTAGGTTAACAAGTGATGAGGGCCTCCCTGGTGGTGCAGCGGGTTGAGCACAGCACTGTGAAGCTGTCCGCAGCCTCTGCAGCGCAGGCTCAATCCTGGCAGGCCGGGGAGATACCCACATGGAGCAGCAGACCTCTCCTGTCTCGCCTGCTGCTCCCCTCAGCAGTGTATTTCTTCAGTCTGCCTGTTCTGTTCCCTGCTCTGTCTCTGGTGAATCCTCTCACCCTCCCGCACATCTGGCCTGTACCCCAGTTCTTGTATAAATAAATAAATCTTCAAAAATAAATAAATAATTTTAAAACCCACCAAAAAAAAAAAAACAAAACCAAAAAACCAGGTGATGAGTCTTTCCTCTTGTGGCCAATATACACTCACACCTGGAACACTATCCATGCAGAAGCCAGAAATTGCACTAGGGCAGGAGAATAAAGGGGCTAGAATCAACTTAGGAAGCTACAGAACCTAAGGAGGTACTGATGTGTCTGGCCCTGATTTGAAGTGTCCTTTGCAGGGATTCAGTTCATCAGAGATGCTGTGTGCAGAATGAACCAATGCTGGGGAAGGGAAGCAGGGCAATGCCAGGAGCTAAAAGCTGGATGGTCCAGATGAGAGTGGACTTATCTAGACGGGTCATATGGAGCTTGAACAGGGAGTGAGGGTGGGGTGGTTGCCAAGAAAGAGAACCCAAAGGGAGGGCAGACAGAGCATCAAAGTGTCCTAATTTGACTGCAGCGCCAGGACACCTGGTGTGGACTTGGTCAGATGTATGACCTGTGTCCACCTTCAGTAACCAGTGGTAGAACCACTTTTTAGAGCAAGTCTTTAAGACCCAGCTGAGGCTGACAGGAATGAGACTCCAGGGGACACAATATGTCCCTATATGTGGTTTTGTCCTGCTGACCGTCTTTACTAGCAACATGGAAAATTCCCCTGGAGTTATGTATGGGCTGCTGCCAAAATGGCTGAGAAGGCAGGCGACAGAACAGGGACCCAGGAGATGGCAATAGGAAGAAATGACAAGCATGCCCCAACAGAATGTGGCTACATGCAAGGGCATGATATCGGTCCCAAGCAGATGAAGGGACTAGAGTTAAGGATGATAGGGGATGTGATATTGTGCAACTCCAGAGGCTGGAGGGATCCCAGGTCATATCAAAAGGAGTATGACTCCCAGGTTAAAGGATGCAAATATTTCTCTTCTGAAATGATTAAGTTCCACTAGGGATCCCATATGAAGCTTGCCTTTTCACAGAGCATCACCACTAAACAATGAGATTAGAAACCATGCTCTAGGGGAATGACCTAAAGAAAAGGGGTGGGATGAGTCTTGCTCACCTGACAGGCTGCTCCCTCTGTCACAAAGGAAATATACTTGCTCTGCATGGATATCTTGGGGAGACAACATTTTAAAGCAATGCAAGAAAGGATATTTAGAACTGTCCAGTGAGGACAGAGATACCTTGCTAGCTAGTGAGTTCCCTAATCATTGAAAGTATTCAAATATGCATTGCAATGTAGTTTGGGAGCAAATTCAAGCATCAGAGTGGAAGGGTGGAGACTGGTGTGCAGGGTTTTGGACCAGCTGCCCTTTAAAGAATCCTTCAGTCTTAGCTCCTGTGAGTAAGTGCCACAGTGGGATGTTGGATGGTTTAAGGACCCACGCAGGGTCCGATGCAGGATGCTAGGATGCCTACCTGACCCCAGATGGTGCCTTCTGAGTTCTCCACCTGCTCCCATCGCAGGCGCTTGACGCTCATGTGGCTGGTCTCGCTTCGGCGGTGGCCCAGGCCCCGGGACAGCATGGGGGGTGCACAGGGCACAGGTGGGGGTAGAGGTGGTGGCGGTGGCGGAGGAACTGGATGGCTGAGTTGGGTGAGGGGCTTGGCCAACATCTGAGTGGGGACCCGGGGACCGTCAGGGTTGCGGGAACTGGGTTTGGGGTCATGGAAGGGCAGGGGTGGTGGGGGTGGGGGGCTAAGTGGGGGTGGGGGGATGTGGTCAGAGATGGACGAGTAGGTGAGGGAGCTGCCTTCCTCGCTGCTGCTGATACACTCGCTAGCGCTGCTCCGCTCATTGGTTACAAAGCTGCCCTGGTCATCATGGAAGCTCATCTAGAGGGGGCAGAACAATGGGAAGGCAGGGTGAAGCTGGGCCCTGGAGGCTACAGCATGGGGCAAGGGAGAGTGGGGTAGCCTGCAGGGGAGGTTGGGATAATCTGCTGACAAAGTTAGGAATAGTCTGGTGGGCTGGCCTGAGGCTGTGAGTAGGAAAGTCTGACAGGGTGCGAGGCAGCCTGGGACAAGGAATAGGGAAGGGGCAGGATAGCCTCAAACAGGCCATGAGATCGCCTGGGGCAAGAGGTAAGGCTTAAGTCAAAGGGGGAGCTAGCTCCAAGGCAGGGAGTAGGGTAGCCTGGGAGAGTCTGTGCCGACTGGGATGCTATTCCTCTTGCAGATGCACCTCATTGCCTCTGCACCCCCACCCCCACCCCCTCCCCGCCACACCTGCTTCCAAGCTCACCTCTTCGTAGTCATTCTCGGGACTCAGAAAATCATCCACGATGGTGACCCGGGGGCCCAGCTGCTCACTCAGTGCATCCAGGAAGCGGTCTGTATCCCGGCTTCGCACAGGGCGGGAGAAGGTGAACAGCTTCCTTCGGCTGGGTGGGCGGGCAGGGTCCGGGCTGGGAGGGCTGTCGGAGCGGTTGGGCCCGGGGCCTGGCTGTGGGGAGGGCGCCCTGCTGCTGTCCAGGCTGGCGTAGGGGTGGGACTCGGAGCTGCTGGGGGAGGCCAGGCCCCCTGAGCATAGCGGGTAGTAGCAGGGAGAGGGCAGGAGCCGCTCGCTGGGCCAGGAGACGTTGGACAGGGTCCTGGGCCCTGGGGTGGGGGGTGGAGCGTGAGGACCCCTCTGCAGTCAGTACCGGGGTCCAGGTACTGCAGGCTGGAGGGGAGGGGCCCAGGGCAGGCTGGCTCTGTGTCCCCAGGGCGCTCTTCCTTCCCTCTCTGGACACAGCACAGGAAGACCCTGGGAGACCCGCCTCCCCAGGTCCTTCCCGGAGGGTGAGCAAAGGTCAGAGTGTAGGAGTGGGAGCACTGCTTGGCCCCAGGACAGGCAGACCCCAGTTCATCTTGGAAGGGACACCAAGCGTCCCACCCAGACCCCACCAAATGCAACTCAAAGGGCAGAGTGGCCTTCTCCATGAGGCACCTTTCACCTCCACTAGGCCCTTAGCTCATAGGAGCATCTCCCAGGGTCCCTGCATTCTGAACAACAGAGAAACAGCATGTACCTCCTATGAGCCACCCTTTTTCCCGCTGTCCCATTTACACAGCAACATAAACACTTGAGAGTTTATCCATAGCCACATGTTAATTTGGGGACGTCTTTGGGGATAGTACTCTGCCTTTCTAGCTCTATAGAGGATCATATCGTGGGCACCCCTCACATGTGTGGCCCCTAGCCATGGAGGCTGCTAGGGTTCCCTACAACCCAGTCCTTGGCCATGGAGCAAAGTATGGGGGGGAAGGGAGTGTGTCCAGGGTTCTGCCTGGAGGTGGAGCCAATACCCAGACAGTTGGCCAGGAGGACAGAGAGCAGTGTTGCCCTCAGGATCTGAGGTTGGCTGAGCCCCTACCTGCTGTGACTGCTGGACTGGGCATTGGAGGGGAGGCATGGGATCTGGACGTGGTCCCCATTTTCCCTTTAAAGCTGCTGCTCAGGCGGGACTCCAGCTCTGCATAGACAGCTGACATCTGGGGGAGAGGGGTGGAAGTTAGCTCAGCCTGCCCCCACTTCCTCTGTGTCCCTAACATGACCTGGGAGGTCAGGTCTGGGTGGTCTGGGAGACTGGGAACCACCCCAGCCACATGGGTCTCTCATTCTCCACCCCCACCAAACCACGAGGAGGGTAGAGAGGTCTCACCATCTTGGGGTTGGGGGTCTCAGGGAGGGACGTGCCATCGCCTGCCTGGCGCTCGCCTGGGATGAGAGGAAGTGGCATCTCGGGGCAGTCGGCAGGACCTGCAGGGGAGTCCGATGAGCCACATCTGAGGGTGGGTCTACTGACCACTTCTGAGTCCCAAGGCTCAGACCCAGCCAGGGTCCATGGAGAAAGTACCAGCAAGGAAGGCACCTGCTCAGCCCTGCTCACCCACATTCCCAGGGGTTTCCGATCTCACCACATCCATTTTGCAGGTGTGGAAGCACAGCCCTGGCAGCACCCTCCCAATTGCTCCAGTCTTTCTGTCCATGGCCTCACCACAGCTGAGGCTGGACTCCAGGCCTTGGGACCGGAGGCTTCGGCGGCATATGGAGGAGGCCCTCAGGGAGCTTCTTGGCTGCAGCTCAGGCACTGGCTCAGGCTCAGGCTCCAGGTCCAGCTCAGGCTCAGGCTCTGCTGGGGAACATGAAGAGGAGATAAGCCCTTTATCCTCTCGGCCAGACAAGAGCCTCCACACACAGGGAGAGGTATCGATGGCCTTCTGCCCCGGCCAGCTCTAGGAAAGCTCTCAAGGGGAAGCCCTGGCATGGGAACCAGATGCCAGGAACTGGAGGGACAAGGGGGTGATGGAGCTTGAGCCTAGCAGAGATGACCACAGGCCTCTTCTCATGACTAGAGCCTAGGACATAATGATTTCCAGTCTCAACGACTTGTGCTGCCCACAGGGAATTTTGGGGTAAAATGGAAGGTTCTAGCCTTAGGTAGATGTGTGGAACATTATCCTGCACCCTTAGCTTCTTGCTACAATCCTTCATCTCCCCCTACCCCTGACAAACTGTGGGTCCCTGGGGCTGGGGAGGTGGATACATAGGGCCAGCATGCAGGAGAGCTGCAGGCCGAGACAACAGGTGCCGTGTGTCTAGAACAAATGCATAGGGTTGGGCTCACTTCTGATTCTGGAGGCCTAAACGCATGGTTTGTGGGCAAAGGGGGAAGGCTGTGATGGGTGCACAGCAACATGAGGCTGAGGCTACAGCTGGCATGGGTCCTGGTGTGCATTGTGTGCCCCAGCCCCAGTCAGGTGTGACCCAGCTATGCGCTCACGATCCAGGCCTACAAACAATGTCCACACAGTGCCTTGATCTCCCGCACACTTGCCAGGATGCAAAGCACAGCCACTGAGGTCACCCCTATTTTCTGTGTGAGAAACCTCAGACCCCTCAAGCCATTATAGGGGATATCTATGCTGCTTAAAGGTCAAGGTGAGGGCACTCCTAGGACCAGACCAGGTGTGATGGGCAGATATTTGCAGGGCGCAGGGGTACATCCGTGTGCGGGTAGGGCCCAGGTACCGGGGCTTTTCACCTGGAAGTGAGTGGAAGGCAAGCCAGCTCACCTGTCATGGCTGTGTAGCCCAGGAAGCATGCAATTTTCTCCTGGCACAGCTCCTGCTCCTCATAGGTCAACAGCTGGTAGATGAACTGCCAGAGGACCTGCTTGGCAGGTGTGTCCAGCACAGGATAGACGTCGACAATGAGGGTATCAATGTTCCTGGGGGAGGGTGCAAGAGCAAAGTGCTAATTGTCCATGAGCTCACCATGGGTGAGGGCATAAGAGGGGTGGGGAGCCCCTGCAGGCCATAGAATGCAGCCTCATGCTGTCTCCCTCCCACAGGGCAGGAAAGCAGGCAGGAAGGCCATCCAGACTCAAATCCTGGCTCTGCCTCTTACCAGCCAAGTGACCTTTCTCAAGTTTCCTAACTTCTTTATGCCTCAGTTTCCTTGTCAGTGGAATAGGGACAAGAACAGTACAAAGCTGCTGTACAGAGTTCTTGGGAAGATTAAAACATGTAGCATGTTGGGAAAGCAGACTCATTACAATTGACCCTTCAACAGCGTGGGGTTAGGGGTGCCGAACCTTGTGTGGTAGAAAATTCATATGTAAATAACTCTGACTCCCCCAAAACTTAACAACAATCATCCTTTGGTACATGAGGGGGACTGGTTTCAGGACCTCACTTGGATACCAAAATCCAAGGATGCTCAAGTCCCTTATAGCCGGCCCTTGGCCCTGCAAGTTCTGCATCTTCAGACTTAACCAAGAACTGTCGGTGGTTGAATCTGTGACTGTAGGACCCTCAATATGGAGGGCCAACCTCATTATTAAAAGAACGTTGAGTATAAATGGACCTGCACAGTTCAAAGTGGTATTCTTCAAGGGTTAAGGATTGGCAAACAATGACCTGTTTTGGAAAGGTCTCACTGGAACATGGTGATACCTATTTGTTTGCATATTATTAATGGCTGATTTCAAGTTCCAATAGCAGAGTTGAATAGTTTTAACAGAGACAGTACTGGCCTGCAAAGCCAAAAATATCTACTCTCTGGCCCTTTAGAGAAATAGTTTGCTGACCCCTGCATTATGTGGAAAAATAAAACTGGATCCTCACAACACACCACATAAAGGTGAACTCTAGGTGTGAAAAGTAAAATTATGAAATCAAAAGAAGATAGTACTTTTGAAATGATGAAAGTTTCTAAAATTGAATGTGGTGATGGTAGCACATATGTGTGACTATTCCAAAAACCAGTGCGTGATACACTTAAATGGGTGAATTGTATGGTATGTGAATTAGATCTCACTAAATACGTTTAAACAAAAGAAGAACAGGAAGTAAACAAGTGAGGGGCCTGGCACCAAGACAATGACACACCTTACGCACCGAGAAGTATGACAACCACTGGATGCTGTCACCGAAAGACACCAAACCAGCCCCAACAGGGTCTTGCGGGCACCAGTCCCTCTGACCACGCTGCAGGTGGTGACTGCCTACTTCTCTTTTCAGAGAAGGCTGTGGCTCACCTAGTTTCAGAGTTGTTTGTTCCAGAGCAGCCCAGCGGTCCCCACCCTGCCCGCCCCTGGTAACAGTGTTGCCCTCATTGTGCTACTCCCCAGCAGATAAAAGAGTTGTGCGGGGCAGGGAGGCGTACTGGTGAGTCTGGGTAGGATTGCGGCCCACCCAGGGCAGGTGCCCACCACCACTCTGATCCAATCACCTGTGCTGGAAGAAGCTTTCCAGGGCCCGGCAGACCCCATAGCGCTCGGGAGGAGTGAGCAGGTGCTCCAGCTGCTGGCTGAAAGTCCTTCCCTGGACCCGGATGCTGGATGGCAGGATGTCCGCCACCCACTGCAGGGAGGTGAGCGCCGACGATGGGTTGGGGGAATCCAAGGAATCAGAGTCTGGGGGGCCATAGGTAGGACAGACACGGGTGACCCATGTCCCTAGTCCAGGTGCCCTCCTGAGTGGGGGTGTGGCCATGCAGAGTTGTGCCCTGGGAGGCACACCTGCTGTCCCCGGCTGGGGATAAGAATGGACGATGAGTCAGGGCAGGTTCCTGATGCCCCATTAGGTTCTGCCCCTGGGGAGTAACACCTGGGGAGGGAAGCTGCAGGCTTGAGGGGGAAAGCAGAGTCCTCTGAAAACTCAGAAATCCCACACATGGCAGCCCCAACAGGGTTCCTGGGGGCCAAGGCAGCCAAGTGGCTGGGGGGCAGGGTCTCACCACTGGCGAACGAGACGAGCCCCTCCTCCACCACCAATGTGGGCATTGCACCACTGCCCTGCAGCATGGACACCACCTTGTCATGGGAGCAGTTCCTGCCAAGCAAAGATGGCCCAGGAGGGCCTGACCGGGATGAGCTCTGTCCACCACCACCCACCATACCTCCCTGTCCTGCCCTAGAGGCCACAGCATAGTCTACTGCTGGGCCAGAAACAGAACCCCAGGCCCTGCCACTCCTGCCTCCTAATCTTTGTAGGAGAAACTCCAGGCCCAGGACCAGCTGGGCACTCTGGGTTGTGCCCACATCACCCCTAGGTGGGGTTCCCAGGCAAGACGCAGATGGCCCATTTGACTCTGTGTTCCCAGCACAGTGTCGCTGGCTGAAAGGATGCACTGACCCTGGCCGGGGTGGGAGGACAGATTTAAGAGTTCATATAGGAAGTGGGACAGACCCCGGGGACCAACTGGTCAAAGGGGATCAGGACTGTGGCCTGAATGTCCCAAGAGACAGGAGTCTTGGGGGACAGTTTATCACTAAGCTCTGATATCCCCAATGGCCTCTGACCTCATGTCCAGTCCATTAAGGAAGAGGATCCGGTCGCCTGACTTGAGGGAAGCATTGTCAGCAGGGCTCCCTGGAAACAAGAAAGGAAGGGCATGCTGGTCAGGTGGGCAGCAGCCTGCTCTGCGAGCCAGACACTGACTACAGTCTGGCCAGTGTGAAATAGGCAGCAGAAGAGAACCAAATCAAGTCAGCAGGTCCCCACATCAGACTCAGGGCCTCTGACCTCAGCTGCTCTCAGCAGGGAGTGACCCGTGGATGGGGGCTGGGGGGCTCAGGGCATGAAGTGGTCAGCTGGAGAAGAGCAGAGACATGGAAGGAACTGAGAGCGAATTTCTGTAGCATCTGTCCATCCTGCAGAGGACCCTGCTCCAGATACCGTCCTGACCCTCGTACCGTGGTCTGTATCACATACCATTCCTCTGTGGTTTCGTTTATCAGGGAAGAAATGTGTCTGCTACAGGGTGGCAGGCTCCTCCCTCAGGCTGGGAAACATGGCATATTAATCATGCTTCTTATTTCCTGGACTTCTGGAGCTTTGACCTCTTGGGCCTTGCTAATACTGGGAGGAGTCTCCTCCAGAGTTAGCCAAATCCCAGAGATGGTCAAGGGGTGGTGTGCAAGCACGCCATTCACGTGCAAACCAACTAATCCTGGACCCCCACAAGCCCACTCCTCTATGGGGTCTCACACTCTGGGTCATGACTCTCTGCCCGAATCACCCAGGGCCAAGTACAGACAACTAGGGACAGCCCTGTGTCCCCAGATCTTGGAACTTTCTCAAACTAGCCAATCCTAAACCTGTTTAGCCTGCTTCCCCTGCCTCAGCCATTCCCATAAAAACCACAAAAAGGGTTCTTGTCCCTGAGTTCTCCTCACTCCCTCTGTCTGCCTCCTGACTGATCCTGGTACTGCCCTGGGTGGCCTGTGTGGCATCCCGTGCCCCCTGCTCTTGGGAGCCGTGAGTCACCATCTTTTCAATGGCTGCTCTCTCTTGGCCTGTTGGCCTCATCATATCTGAATAATAACAAAGCCTACATTTTAACAAATGGGAGCAGCTAATTCTCACTCTGGCTGGTTGACTCCCAAGGTGAGACCTACCTCAGCGCTTACTAGCCAGGGAAGGGAGGGGGGCTGGTAAATTTGCGCCTATAGATATAGTATTTTTTTCTTTCTGTCTCTTATTAGTCTTCAGTCTAATTTGGAATCAAGTGGCGGGGGATGATAAATAACTAAATAAAATATACACTTAGATTGGGAACAGTTTTCTCTTGAGGCTGTGGGGAAAGTCTGTTGAGGAAGGGAATGACCAAGGAAAGTCCTTTCTCTGGGACTAAAAATGGAGCGAGAGTATTGGTCATAATGAATCCAACCTGGCCTGCCTGGAAGCCTGGGCCAGCCTGGGGGTAGGAGAGTCAGAGGGGTGTAGCAGGGGATTTAAGGTCACTGAGTCAGGAGCTGGGAAACCCCAGGTTCTGCTCCTTGATTTGCCAGAACCTCTCTAGGCCTCAGTTTCCCAGTCTGTAAAAGCTCCCATCAATGCTTCATTTGACTTCCTATGAAGGATGGCATGGAATTAACAGTTTAAAGACTGGGCTGGGCCTCCCCGGTGGCACAGCGGTTGAGCGCTGGGTTGCGAAGCGGCCCGCGGCCTCTGCAGCGCCGGTTCGATTCCCGGCCACCGGGGAGGGTCGCACATGGCACACAGACCTCTCCTGCCGCCCGCTGCTCCCCTCAGCAGTGTACTTTGGTCCTTCTGCCTGCTCTGCTCCCCGCTCTGGCTCTGGTGAATTCTCTCACCCTCCCGCGCTTCTGACCATACCCAGTGCTTGTATAAATAAATAATCTTAAAAAAAAAAATAAAGACTGGGCTGAGGAGAACAGTACTCCTGGATTTTAACATGGCCCTAGACCAGGTCTCTCTTATAGAAGAGGCAGGGATAAGGAGGGTGTGGTGTGGGCAAAACATTTGGAAGAGACAAAGAAATTAATCATTTCAGGGCCTCCCAGGTGGCGCAGCAGTTGAGCGCTGGGTTGCGAAGCTGCCCGCAGCCTCTGCAACGCCGGTTTGATCCCCGGCTGCTCCCTGGCCACTGGAGGAGGGTCCCACATGGCACACAGACCTCTCCTGCCGCCCGCTGCTCCCCTCAGCAGTGTACTTTGGTCCTTCTGCCTGCTCTGCTCCCCGCTCTGGCTCTGGTGAATTCTCTCACCCTCCCGCGCTTCTGACTGTACCCAGTGCTTGTATGTATGTATGTATAAATCAATCAATCAATCAATAAATCTTTAAAAAAAAAAAAGAAATTAATCATTTCAAAAGAAAGCTCCCTAGAAAGCTGCCTTCAGGCTTTTCCTGAATAGTGTGGCAACAACTTGCCAAGTTGTTGCACAAATCTGAGATGAAGTGGCAGATGCGGGTCATCAGGTTCAGTCTCAGAATAAGCTGATGGCCAGAACAGTGATGCAAAGGCTCTGAGCCACTTCCCCGGGAATCAGAAGATGCCCGTCTCACAGACCTGTACACTGGAGACCGAGATACAGGGGGCAGAAAGGACACAGCATCAATAGGGGGCTATGTCACTCTGAAGGGGATGTGTCATTGACAGCATCACGCTCAGACCTGGCAGGACCTAGGTGCAGGTGACCCAGTCCTATGGGGCAGTTACAGGGAGGAAGAATTCAATTCAGTACCAGGGGACTCCTCTGCTCCACGGTCTCCTGAATGGTGTCTTACCCTCACGGTCCCCTGGGGCAGGAGGTGCAGAAGGAGGAACGCCTACACAGAGAAGGTGCTGCTACTTCAAGATGCCACCATTTAAGGAGCAAGCTGGGTAGGAGGAGGTGGGGAGTCCAGATTGGTGGGGGAAAGTGAGGGGATTGTATGGGGGGCAGAGTCCTGAGGCCTTCTTGCCTGTCTAGTCTGGCCTGTTCAAGAGTCCAGTTCACAGTGGGCAGATGGCTCAAGGAATGTTGCTTGGGGCGCAGCCTGGGCAGGCATCAGCTCTGCCTGGGTGCTCCAGTATCCCTGGCAGTGAACCACTCCTCCCTGTGAACACAGGAAACCTCTGGATGAAGACCTCAGCTCGCTTGGCCCAGGGGTGACCCTGCTTGGTGGGCGTTTGCCCTGATTTGGACCTGCTGCTCTGTGGTACTCAGAGGTTGGTTGGGGGGAGGGTGGTTGCCGAGTAGCAGCCTAGCAAGGTCCTTCAACCCATCCTGGGCCTTAGGGACTTTTAGGGTAACTGGCCCACCCCTTACCGGGGAGGACAGACTCAATCCAGACCGGTCCATGTCCGCGCAGCGTGAAGCCGAAGCTCTTGTTGCCCTTGTAGACTCGTACTGTCCTGGGAGACAGAAGAGGAAAGTAGGGGGCAGGCAGCGTGCCCTGCTCCGGGGAGAGGCAGGCTGGCCATATTGGCGGGAGAGGTCCAGCGTCCCGCTCCTGCCGGCTTCCAGGCGTCCATCCTCTGCCCCAAGCCCTCGACCCTGGCGTCTCTCCCCCGCGTACCTGCGCGCGCCCCCGGGGCAGGCGCGACCGCCCAGCAGCGAAGCGGCCTTGCGCGGGGGCGGCTCATCCGGGCGGCGCGGCGCGGCGCTGGCGCGCGTGGACACCAGGAGGCGCTCGGGCCTCTCCTCGCTGCGGCTCCGGCGCAGCCGCTGCGCTCCCTGAGCCCGCCGGACACGGCACAGTTTGCCCAGCAGACCCTGCGACACCACCTCGTCGAAGCGCGCCCGGTGCTTCTTGGGGATGAAGATCCTGCGGGTGAGGACCGCAGAGTCGAGGCGCGCCCGCTGGCAGCGCCCGGATCGCGGCAAATCGTGATCCAAAAGGTGCCTCTACTTGGGGACCACCCTAACTTGCGCCTCAACCGGCTATACAAGGAGCACAGCACCCGGTTTCCTCCACCTTGTGAAAGTCACGTTACAGTGTCCCTACTGCTCCGGCCTTTGGAGAGGCCTCAGTTCCTGCAAAAGTTAATGCATGGAACCAATCCTCCACCTGCCTTGTCTTCCCATCTCCTGCCTCTCCCCTACTCCCTCGTGTCATCACCTTGCACCCGCTAGGCCAGCACCAGGCTGGGATCCCCACCATCGACCTTCTCCCGGCATGATTCCAGTAGCTCTGCTGGAGAAAATTGAAGCCACAACCCTCCCAGAGTCAGACTCCCCCATACCCTCAGGATACTCCAAGTGTTCCCACTGGCTTCTCTGGCCAGCCCTCCTACAACTGCCGACTCAGAATGTGATTTTGCTCAGGCTTTTGTTCCTGTCAGGTACACTCTCTGTTCCCTTAGCTAAACGGGGTTCCCTTCAACACCCAACACTGGCCTTCCTTCAATTTAATCCTGTGCCAGCCAGGGACTGGGGTACAAAGCTGGAGATACGGTGTGGTTCCCACTTTCAGAGGAGTGGGCATGGAAGTGGTGAGAGGCAGAAGAGGCTGGCATGGCCCCTGTGTGGAGTCCACAGCCTGGAATGATGCTTGGTGCTCATGGGTCTCCTTTCTGAGGCTGGAAGCTTTTTGAGGGCTGAGTTCATAACTCAGCTTCGGACCAGCGCACATGGGAGGGACTCTCAGTGACTCCATGGGTTCTTCATGAGATCCAACCCCACCTTTGAGAAACAGCAGTGGTCCATGTCCTGGTAGCCTCCCTAGTTCATGGCAGAGGATTCTGAAGCTCAGAGAGGATGTGTAACTCCCAGGTTACACAGATGGGCCCTGGGAAACTGGGATTCAAGTTCAGCTTCTGAGCCTTAGCACAGTGGTGGGGCTCTGATCAGGGTTTGAGGAGCTCGGGCTGCTAGTGAGGCCCCCTGGCTCCCTCCCAAGGCTCCCTTTCCTGTTCTTTATACCAGAAAACAAGGCCAAGGGCATGGAGAAGAGGGAAGAGTGAGAGCCAGCTGAAATACAAACCCTCTGAGGTCCCCCATGGGCCCCCACTCAGTTCCTCTGACCTCTGTGGGGAGGATTAATAAGCCTGGGTGAGCAGAATAAACTGCCTGGTGGGAAGGGATATATATCCTCCAGGAGGAGGGGTGCATCCCTGTAACCACCACCACCACCACCCCCACCAGCCCAGTGAGCTCTATTCCAGGTCTGGATGTTCCAGGCAATTAGGAAGCCAGAATGAATGGCCGGCTCAACTCTGCCAGGAGTGTCCTGGCCTGGCCTGATATGCAAATCCTTGCCCATCTGCAGTGATTCTCAAAAATCTGCAGCTTCAGCCTCCCTCCCCAGATGGTCACTCAAGTTCTCCAGAGACTGACCCCTCCATCTGCTTGGCCTGCACAACCTCACATTCCCCCCCACACCCTTTCAAGCCCACCCCATGCTTCATGCCCAGGGAAAGAGATGATGGCATGCCTGAAGTGGTCCACTTCAAACTTTTAGGCCTCAGTCACAGGTTTCAGAGAGCAGCACCCCCAAACCCTGGGACCAACCTGGGTGGGGGCCAGCTGGGGCTCCACCCTCAAGCAACAGTTAGAAAGGCCTTGCCCCCTGGTGAGAACCAGGGTTAGTAGCAACTGCACAGGTGCAAGAGTTGGGTGACCCATTCGCTGTTTGATGTCCTTGGGGTCATACCAGAGCCCAAGGCTGCCTGGTGAACTAGTCATCCTTCTTCCCAGCTCCCTTGACCCCTCCAAGTGGCTCCGGTCTGTTCCCTATAGATCTAGCACAGACAAGACCAGAGAAGCCTCAGGAACCTTTGTGGTCCCTCTGACCCCCACAGCTAGGCCAACCTTCAGGGCACCTCCAGGGGGCCACACAGTGACCTTTGCACTCAATTCTCTCTGCCTGGAGAATCAAGTCTAAATCGAACTCCAGATTCCACCAGGATTGGTCCTAGGGTCCTATCTCTCCTCGCCACATTTCCTGCCTCATTCTCTGTGCAGTTTCCCAGACCAGCCCAGTCGCAGGAAAGAGCTTTTCAATCCCAGCCCGAGATCCTGGACCCAGATCTCAACCCCAAGGGTCGGTCAAGCTCTGGGCGCCCACGCAGAGAACTCGCCCTCCTGTATCCTTGCAGTCTGTTTTCGCCCTCCCCAGCTTTTGGGCCCGTACCAGGTTCGGAAGGTGCCCACCCAGGGCAGGGAAGCCCCCTCAAAGCTCTAGCCCCACCCAGTTTCAGGCCGGCGGGAGGCGGGTCCGCCGCGCGCAGGGCGCAAGGTTCCCGGGGCGCAGTGGGGAAACTACCGAAAGTGCCGAGAGAAGCCCTGGTCCTTCCCCATCTGGAGCCGGCGACGGCGACGTGGCTGGTGCCGACGGGCAGGGCTTGGCCAAGCCCGGTAGCAGAGATAGGGTACCGCGACTCCACGCGCCTCTGCCGGGCGAGCGCGCGCGGCCCCTCCCGAGCTGGTCCAAGCCGCGGCCCCGCGCCCGCCCCTTCTCGGGTGGCCCCGCCCCGCCCCTCCCCTCTGGGGGACCCTTGGCTTGCTCCCTGGAAGCTGGGGGAGGTTGGATGCCTTTACACTGCCTCCTCTAGGCACCCTCCGGAGATTCGTACCTACGCAGGTGCCAAGCCTCGGACTTCTCGGGCCGTGGCGCCCTGACCACAGGCAGAGTGGTGGGTCCCACTGGCTCAGCGAGACTGAACGCCACAGTTCAGAGGGCGGCTGGTAGCTCTTTGTAAGCCCTGGGCCGCTTTCCGGAAGGGGTGGGCTTTGTCCCGGGGCCCAGGGTTCAGCAGAGGTGGGCTTGGGCTAACAAGTGGAAGGCCTCTCCCCCTACTCGGGAAAGCACCAGTGGAGAAAGGCTAGAAGGGAAGCCTTGAATGACAAGTCAGCAGATGAGACTGCACCAAGAGAATGATGGGGAACCAGGAGGTGGCCGCCACCACCCAGACAGGCTGGAAGGGCAGGCCGAGGCTGGAAACCCTGGGGACTTGACCTGTCTCAGTCATTGGGAGGAACAGTTTGCATGGCCCTACCTAGGGGTTCCTACAGCCCATCAAGGGCAGGACCCTGTAGACTTCCTGATGGTCTTTGGTACTGATACTGTGTCCAGACCATGCTGCCCAGTACACCTCAGCCTCCCATGCCTGTTCCATTCCTGCCTCCCCCCACCCCCAACCCTACCACCAGCTGCGGTGTTCAACCCAGCTGGCTCCACATTTCTCCTTGGCGGCAACAGGAAGCCAGAGCCAGCACTCAGGCAGTGTCCTCATCAGTACTTGTCCTTAGCCCTGCCAGGGAGAGAAATAACTGAAAACTCTCACAAAGAGCACAGCTCTCTGATTTCTGCAGGGCCACAACCATCCCACCCTGCTAGGGTCATTTCTAGTTGTTTTGTACCAGCTGCGACAGCCCAGCATTGAAGACTGCCTGTCATGCTGTGGCCAGGGGAGGTGTGACCACGGAGCAGATGCTCAGGCAGAAATCCAGACACAGTCAGTAGTGTGCACGCTGCCTGGGTCGGGTCCTGCCCTGCACAGTGAAGACACCAAAAAGTTCTGCAGCTGGTGCATCTGGCCAGAGGACCTAAGGCAGCAGGGGAGGCAACAGCTGGCCTTCCCTGAAGTGCCTGCTTCATCCAGAGGGTGCTACTGAAGGCAGATCACTCCAGGACACTTGTTCTCAATAGGGGACAAGTTTGTCCATCAGGGACATTTGGTACATTCTGGGGACAGTTTTGGTTATCACAAAATGATGGACTGGGCCAGTAGGGGGATGCACTACTGGTATCTAGTGGGTGGAGGCCAGGGATGCTGCTAAACTTCCTATAAATACAGGCTGGCTCTCAGCAACAGAGAATTGTCAAAAGCGCCATGGTGGAGAAACCTCTCTCAGGAGAGATTTCCCTTAAGAGAAACCCACACTAACTGAGCACATGCTATATGCTATCGCTTTCACTTAGAGTTTCATGAACTTTTCCCAATAACTGTGTATTATGGTGTTCCTGACACTGTCCTTAAACCAGAAGAGGGTAAAGGCGGTACAGATGTTCCCTCACACAACATATTCACAGCTAATCTCTCACTGCTTGCAGTTGGCAGAGTGCACTGATGTGGTGTCCTACCAAGAACCCTGCTGTGAATACGTAGGGCTGAGCAACCCATTTTACAGATGAGCTGTCGGGTCAATTAACCTGCTCTATGTTGCACAGCCAATAGTAGACTTAGGGTTTGAGCTAGGTCTGCGGGGATTCCAGATTCCAGCTCCACACCATCCCCTTGCCTCTATTGCGTCCACCTCCCCTGTCCCTTGTGTATTTCCTGCAGCACTGGCCTACCCTGGAGCTGGCTAGCTTCCCCATTCCTCCTAGCCACGTCACACTTTCCGAACTGTTCTAATTAGAAAGTAATTTTATCACTTCATCAAACTGGGATCCCTTTGGGACAGACCCATATTAGGCTCTGAGCCCAGGATCACCTGCTGCTATAAAGGAGGATGAGACTCTTCCCTCACATTGCTGCCGCTGACCCAAATCTCACCCTCAGCACTGTCCACGAGAACCTTCCTTGATGCTGGCCATGGGCTATGTGAGCTCTGTCCCATATGGTAGCCGCTAGTCATTTGTGGCTACTGAGCACTTGAAGTGTGGCGAGTGAGGCTGGGAAATGGAATTTTAAATTTTAGTTTATATATTTTATTAATTTAATCTAGCTAGTGATTAATAGTTAATCTATTGATTTAATCAGTTGTTTTGATTTTTAATATTTAATTTAAAATAGCCAGTGGCTATTGTGTGGGATGGTGCAGCTTCATGAGTGCCTTCCACCTTCTTCCAAGCCTTCCCTCAGAGACCATATCATGAGTGGCAGCTTCCCGCCTCTGCTGAGCACAACCCCTGTCCCCCACTCTTCAACCCCTTCTCTACACTTTGGCTGCTCAACCTCTTTTATAAACCTTATCTCTCCTGAGTGGAAGGGGTGTGTCCCAGGGGAACAGCTGTAGGTCTTCATGGCACCTCATCACATGAAGAGTGACGCAGGGTCTGGCACTGTTGGGTTCCTTGGGATTTGTATGGTACCACCCTTGCCTTGACACACGGGGGGTCCACCTCTGTGGCTAGATGCGTGGCCCTGCTAAACTTTTTGGGGGACTGTCTCCCCACCCACCACCCCACAGGCCACCGAACCATAGCAAAGTCATCTGCTGCCTCCTCAGGGGAGCCTGCCCTGATTGTCCCAGGCTGAATTAACCCTGGGGTGTTCCTCAGCTCTTGAAATCACATACCCTTTCTAAGCTCCCTAGAAGGTGCTACCTGGGGATCACCACTGCATCCCTGGCAACCAGCATTGTGGGCCACTTGCCTGGGGGTGGGGGGTGGGGAGGGGGATGGGGAGGAGGAAGTAAGGGTGACTGAAGCCAGGCTGCCAGGGTACCCCTCTCCCTGCAGAGCCCAGCTGGGCACCGCCCCCTCCTCCAGCAGCCTCCCCAATTTTCCTGTCGCACTTGACACAAGCTGACAACAGAGGCTGCTGTTTCATCCTCCCCAGCAGCGACCGGGAATGATGCCGGGAGAGGCATCCCCAGGTGTCCAGGGTTCCCGCTTTCCAGGCAAAAATCCAGCATGGCCAAGGGGGCGCCACCCCCAATCAGGCTCTTGCTGACCAGCTGCCAGGGCTGTCAGTCGCTTGGGGAACCAGATGCTGAAGGAAAAGCAGGGACGGGGGCTGTCCCAGGAGACAGACAGACGCTGGCCAGGGTAGGAGACGGACAGAAGCCGGCGCAGCCTCGGACAGAGACAAGGGGAGACAAGGGGACCGAGAGGGCCTCCAGCTGAGTCCGGGCCGCTGGCGGTCAGGAGACACGCATGCCAACTTCTCAGCGCCCGGCGCGGTGCCCCCAGCTCAGCCCTGGTGGGGAGGGGAGCAGTGGGGCTGCCCACGGAACACTTCCCCAGGGAGCCCTCAGCAGCAGCACATCATCTCCACCACCAGTTCGGTTCTAGAAACAACTTTTTTTCCCCTCTGGATTTTCCCAGCAAGGGGCAGGCCCCTAACTCACCCCAGGCAGCTCATGGTGGCCTCTTTCCGTGGCCTTCTGCGCTCCGCTGCGGAGCTGGGACGCAGTGCCGCCGGGGCTTGGAGAGGGAGGGTGGCCAGCCCGGTCCCTGACATTGGCCAGGCCCAGAGGGAGGGGCAGGCTTGGGGTGAATGGCAGCGAGGGGAGGGGGCGGAGGGGGGGGCGGAAGGGGGGCGGGGGCGGGCTGAACCCAGGAAGAGGGAGGGGTGGAATGGGGGAGCGGTGGTGGGCCAGGAGGCAGGGTAGGGAGAGGAAGCCCCGCAGGATCCCCGCGGAGAACAAATCATTCAGGCTCAGAGCTGTCCAGATGGAAGCTGTGCAGGGCCGTGACACCCTGACAGGAAAGGGATGATTCTGGAGATCCTCTGGTCACTACAGGTGAGGACCCACAAGAAAACCCCCTACCAAGAATGAACTTAAAGATGTTTCAAAAAGCTGAAGCAGAAGAGAATAGAAAGTGCACAGCTGACCAGTCATAGTTATTGCTACTGCCATTCATTTGCTGTGTGGCTTTGGGTCAGCCTCTTGACCTCTCTGAGCCTCAGTAGGCCCCAGGAACTCAGCAAGAGAAGACTCTTCCAGAGCCCTGTGAGGTCCTTGGCACTCATCTGGCATCATCAAAGGACAGAGCACACACCATTTGTAGGGTCAGGTATTGGGGGACACAGCACAACCTAGACTTCCTTCCCTTCCCGTTGTGCCATTCCTCCATCTCAATCAAGACCTCGGTCTACCTTGGTATCCTATTGGGGATTTCCAAGCTCTGGGTTTGGGGACAGGGCAGGGCAGGCTGTGACTTCAGATCAGGAGGTGGATCCTCTTGCAGCCCGTCCCACCTCGCTGAGGCAGCTGTTTCATTCTCACTCAAAGTGGTATCCTGGCACCTGGCCACCCTTCCCAGGGTGACTGACCCACCTTGTTCTGGGGTCGAGGGGATGACAGGGTCTAGTTCAGAAGCAGGCAGCAGCAGTGTCTGGGTGGCAGTGGGAGAGGAGACTCCCCTGAGGGAGACACACTGAGGTACCTGAGGTTGTCCAGGAGTGGTCCTCGGGCCTCGCGGGGCAGAGCCAGGGTGAGCTCCCACACCAGGTCATCCACCCGCTGCTCCGCTGCAAACTGCTTCAGTGCAGAGAACACCTGCTCCTTGGCCGTCAGCTGGTCTCCCAAGATTTCATCCACCTATGAGGAGGGGTCCCACAGGGACCACAGGGACCCGGGACAGAACAAAAGGGAATCATTCACATCCCCCTCCCCCACTGCTTTAGTTTGCCTCCTTGGTATAACTGTTGTGGGAGCACTGCCGGGGGCCTTTACCCACATCACGTCACTTCAAACCTCCCAGCAGCCCTACAAGGGCATGGCTGGTATCTTCCTCTTACCTCTAAGGAAACTAAGGCTGGTAGAAACGAAGTGACTTACCCAGGATGGGGGGACAGGACTCAAAACCAAGGACATCCCTTCCACTAAACAGTGTAAGGATCAAAGGAATCAATTAAGAGCTCAGCCACATGCCAGGCAGTCAATAATTGCTAGTTACTGCTATTATAATACTACACTCCCTTCCACTACACTGTACGCTCAGAGATCCCATAGAGAACATTCTGGCTCCACAAAAAAGCCTGGAGTGTATATGTAGTGCTGAATTCTGACTCCCCTAATGCTCCCTCCAGACTTTGTTTTCTTTGTGTACAAACCAGCTGACACTAATCAAGGCATATTTACTTTATGTGGCTGCTGGAAATGATTGTGCCCATGGGCCCCCCGTTTCTGGAGGGCAGCTGGGTAAGTGTGCCCAAAGTCAAAATGCAGTCATCTAGCCAGTGATCTTGCAACTAGGAACTTCTCCGAAATACACCCTGAGAAGATAAGATGAGTGACAGCGAGGAAGGAGTAAAGAGGCTCATCTGTGTTTTGCTTAGCACTGAGGCCGTAGTGGCCATGAAAATATCTGATGGTGTAGGCTAAAGGACTGCAGCACAGCCACTGGGGGGGATATTTCTGGATTGTTGGCTCTGCAGCCAAAAAGAGAGGAAACCCCAAACGAGATGGGAGGTTATGTTGCAGACGCTGTCAATTGGAAACTCTTGCCCAGGGCTTTGAGTCTTGAAGGAACTGATGCGGAGATGTTGTGAGGACAGGAGAGCAACTGCTTTCTAGAAGGGTCCACAAAGGGATCAAGGAAGACTTTCAGGAAGAGGTGACACCACAGAAGATGGGTGGGTATTATCAGCAGGGCTTAGTTAGGGGTACCGGTTCAGAGGCCACCTGAGTCTGAGCACATCACACCACAGATTGTTGTGTCTCTCCTCTCCCAGATATGACCGCTGAGACCCAGACTTAAGGTTTTACTCCTGTCTGGTCCCAAGCACAGGGCCTGACATAGTAGGTACTGGAATGTTTATGGAACATTCCAGTGCTGCATTTCCAGGTTTCTCTCTCTCTGAGTAGGGCAGGCTGCCATGCTAGGCGCTCCCCTCCTGGTGCCACCCACCATGCCCAGGAAGGTTAATGGCTTGGAAATCAAAGTCAGCAGCAGCCTTGATTCAAAGGAGAACATGGCTAGCTGGAAAGATGTTTTATGTAAGAAAGAGGAAAAAATAGCTCCTCCCTCCTGGGGCCGAGCAGCAGTGCGGGTTTTGGTGTCAGCTATTACCCAGATGCGCTCAACCTACATCTAAGCGTGAGGCACCATCAGGGACACTAATGGATTTTCTATTAAATATCATATCCTTCAAGAAAGAAAAACTGGGGCAGGGAGAATGCTGGCGGGAACCGGGAGCTGATTGTTGAAAATCAACGGGGGCTCCCACAGATGCCCTTCATCTTCTGGAGGCTTTTTTTTTTTTTTTTTTTTTTTTGAGGATTTGCTTTCAGCTCTGGGGGATGCTTGGTGAGCTCTAACCAGAATCCACCACGCTCCTCTCCCTTTTACCAGAAAAGCACCACAGCTGGCCTTGGCTGGGCACCCTGGCCCTTCTTCCTGGCCAGGTCTGCATTTCCACTCTCCTCTTCTGGGGCTTGACCACATGCCCTCCACTCTGAGGAGTGGTGATGAGGGCATAGGGAGATATAGCCTGGTTCTGAGGCAGGTCATATGGGATTACAGCAGAGAATAATTGTAATGGTGTGAATACTTATGTCCTCCCAAAGTTCAAGTGTTGAAAACCCAAGGTCCTAGTAGTAGGTGGGGTCTTTGGGAGGTAACTAGGACATGAAGGTGGTATCCTAATGAATGATATTAGTGCCCTATAAAAGAACAACCCCAGAGCTCCCTAACCCCTTTTGTCATTGGAGAACACAACCAGAAGTTTGCAACCCAGAAGAGGTCCCTTGCTCTACTATGTTGGCACCCTACTAATCTCCAACTCCTGATCTTGGCACCCAGCCTCCAGAACTACAAGGAATCTATTCCTGTTGTTTATGAGCTTCCCAGTCTGTGGGATTTTGTTCTAGTAGCCAGATGGGTCTAAGGTACTCTTGTTCACCAATATTTCTAGCTCCTCTCTTTCCTGGATACATAGAAGACCACACTTCCCAGCATTCCTTGAGGGCAGTGTTACTAATTCTGGCCAATGAGTGCTGATTGAAGGTGTAGTAGTTCACTTGATCCCTGAAGTACCTAAGAGCAAGCGCATACCTTTCCACGCTCTCTTCCTCTTCTTCGGGGAATTTTGAAGCTTCAAACTGAGATGGAGGAGTCTGGGATGCTGATACCTCATGGAGAGGTCAGCTGTCCCAGAGAGTCGCATGGGCCTTCGGAAAAATTTCTGTGTGTGAAAACTAAACTGTGGTGGATGTAAAGGCACCAAGACGCTTGATTTTGGTTGTCACAACAGAGCTTATTGTGGTTATAGAAAGAAAGTCGTATCTTTTGAGTAGATGGACACACTTAGAAAAAGAACACTAAGTATTATAGCATTTATCCTTGGAAATCCTAATCCCTCCCTTGCCTGCTCCCCCTACACTACCACTATGAAGGTGGTAGGAGATAGGGAGAGAGGGTTTCTCCCTATAGGAGATAGGGTTTCTCAGGAGTTGCTTAGATCAGGAGGGTAGAGTCTTCATGATTGGGATTCATGCAATTAGGAAGAGCTCCCTGGACCCTCCCAATAACTGCCCAAATGGACTAAGACATTATGTTAGTCACACAGATCATAGCAAGACTGATCCATGGCTACAGACGTGGGTGAAAATTACAGACATATTTAGTACAAGAAGCTGGGCATCAAGATCACAGGTTGTATAATTCTGCCAAGTCTAGTTCACCAACGGAATAGTCATCTGTAACAGTGGAAGTCAGAACAGAAGCTTCGTCTTAATGGGAGAAATAGACACGGAAAGGGGTACATGGAAATCTTCTGGTGTGAAGAAATTAATCTGTATTCTCCATTCTGTTATTATCTATACTCTATTAGCTTACAGTTTGATGAGGGTGCTGATTACAAGGGTATATGCAGACGTAAAATTTACCAGCTTACAAGCAATCTCTACAAAATTAGGCCAAGGCCGTGACGCTTGAGGGTCTTTACTGTCTCTGAGAAATCTGTCCTTCCAAGTAGCCTCAGCTCCGGAGCCCTCCAGGCCCCATCCAGGCCCCCTCCAAGGCCCCTCCAGTCCCCATTCAGGCCCTGTCCAGGCCCCCTGCAGGCCCCCTCCAAACCCCCTCCAAACCTCTCCAGACCACCAGGCTCTACCCCCACCTACGAACCCCTCCTGGGGAGCCACCCCGCTCGCGAGCCCCGCCCCACCTCCCTACCTTGCGACTGAACTCCTGGGCCTTGCGCCTGCGCTCTCGGTGCACGGCGTCCGGGCGCTTGCGGCGGGCCAAGAGCAGCAGCTCGCCGCCCAGGGAGAGGCCGCGGCCGGAGCGCAGGGGCCGCGAAGTTGTGGTTCGCTGCAGGCAGCCGGATCCTGCTCCCGGGCCGCCGTCGGGGCCCGGCAGCACGCCCAGGCTGGGCGGCACGCGTGGGCAGCGCCGGGCCAGGCGCACGAGTCCCTCACGGCTTAGGCTGCCCACAGCCAGCCCCTCCACCTCCAGGATCTGGTCCCCTGGTCGCAGCCCCCCCGCGTGCGCGCTGCTTCCCTCGGCCACGTCCAGGACATAGCAGGGGCCCGAACCGCCCAGCCGAAAGCCGAAGTCCTCCGGCCAGCCCTGGTTGGTGGCCGGCATGACAGCAGTGGCCTTGTGGCTGGAGAGGGAGAGAGACGCTGTCTTGCGGGGCTGCGTGCTGCCCAAAGGCCCCGCACAGGTTCCAGTCGGGGCTTCTGCCTCTCTGCCTCTCCCCTCTCACTGCCTCTGTGACTCAGTTTCCCTCCATCTGTCTATTCTTTACCCCCTTCACCCTTCAGCTGTCTGTCTGGACCCGAGTTTTCCACCACTCAAGACAACAGGAGAAATACGGCTGAGAGGATGGAGCCCCAGAGGAACAGGTGTAGATGGAGGTGGTCAGAGGGGCAAGGGAGGGAAGGGAGGTCTGCTGGATAAAGGTCTCAGACACCAGGGAGTTAATGTGGAGTCTTGAGGGTTGTAGAGACAGTGATTAGGGCTTGTGGGTTTAGGAAGTGGATTAGGACAGAGCTGAGGCTGCTGGCTCAGTGCCCCAGCAGACACCAGAGGTAAAGGTGGGGTCTCTGGAGATACACACTCATTTCTCTACATTGTCCTTAGTTTTATCGATTGACTGTGTAAAAGACAAAGTCTTTCCTTAAATTCTTAATTTGAATTGATTGTTTTTTTAATCAACAAGCCTACACTTGTTTTCTGTGGGCGAGCTGCGCTGTCTGACCTCCATGGTACACTGTGGTTTCCACAGCCCCCTCTTTCCTAACTGTTCCCTCCACCTAATTGCTCTCCTTACCCATCTTCATCCATAAAAATCCCTTTTCAGGAGCTGTATGAGTCATAAGCTCCCAGAAGCCCAGATTACTGGAGCAGGAAGAGGCCCCAGATCCATATCCCTGGTCTCTGGGGTAATCCTCCCCAGACAGGAAATGCAGTGTCTGCTCCTGAAGATGGGGTTGGGGGCATTGGAGGTGTGGGGTGTCCTAGCCTAGCTGGAGAATGGCAGAACCCAATGCTCCTGTCCTACCCACCCAAGGCTTCCTTCACAGTGGCTCCCGGGCCCATCCTAGACAAAGCCCCCTAACCTTATCCCAGAGGTTCCTGCTTGTCTGGAGGAAGCTCTCACAGGCCTCCTCTTACTTGAGCCATAGGAGATGGGTAAGGTGTGCCCCTCTTCAATCCCCCAGACTTCTGGAAGAACAAGTAATTATGTACTCTTCCTGGTGTGGGGGGTAGGTGAGTGGGGGGAGAGAGAGCAGACCTGGCCAATCCTGGCGTTCCAGGATTGTTCCTGTGTATCCCAAAGAAAGCTCTTCAGAGCTCACTCGGATTTGACATGTTGGCCTTGGGAGACAGAGGGTCATTCTCTGGGCCTATGAGCTATAAGGATAAGGCAGACTTGGGGAGGAGCAGATCTTACCATAGTATCTGAACTCCTGGATCCCACTGTACCTGAAGTTCACCCAACTTCCATCTAACAAATAGACTTCCCAGGGACTTTAACTCACAAATTCTTACTGAATTTTGTGTTTGGGGTGTTGGGGGAGGACGGTTTTCCTTTTAGGTTGTGAAACTCTTCTTGACCACTTGGAAAACCGAATGTGGCTGATTTGGGTCTCTGGAATCCTGACTCTAGGACAGGCTTGGGGGGAGCAGGTGTCTCTGTTCTCCAAAAGAGACTGTGTGGGGTGGTGAAGTGGAATGGAGACCCAAACCCAGCCTGGGGAGGCGAAATGGCTGTCCTGGATGGAATAGTGTCTCTGTGTTTCTCTGTGTCTATTTAGAATGGGGTCCCTGGATAAGCTCTGAAACTGTAGATGATATATGGTGCAAGGTTTAATTTTCTTGGGAAGAGGCTGTACTTCCATGCACTTCCTGACCCTGTCTTAGAAGAACCTCTGAGGATGGATTTTGAAGGCCCAGGTCTTGTGTACCCCTTAGTCTTCTGCAGATTCTTGGAGGCCACCCTCTCCCATGGCAGTCACTTTCCACTGGTGCCCTCTCCCAGGAGTGGGCTTCTCCCAGAATACCTGGGAACAATTTTTGGAAGCTGAAGAGTTGGAGGGTGAACAGGAGACCCAAGGTTACAACAGCATCATGGACTAAGAGGGTATATCCTTGCATGACAGCTGGTGAGAAACCCGTGTCACCTGGTATCCAGAGGGTACAGTTTGAGACCTTCTCACTCTGGGTGGGGTGGAAGTTATACCCTGAGGCTGCAGGCCCACTCCTGAGGCCACCCCAGGGACCCTCTTTGTCCTCTGCCTATCCCTGGTGCTGCCACTGGCCTGGAGCCTCAGGGACACCTCTGTTACGTGGTGGCAGTACTGGACTCCTCAGTCCATCAGACCCAGACCAGGTGGGGGCATCACCCTGGCTTGGGGCCAGAGGTCAATCATCGTGCCATGAGAGAAGCAGGCAGCAACTCCACGATCAGAGGGCTGATTGGAAACTGAATTTGGGGCATGTGTTGGCTCTCCATGTGCACCCCTACTCTGATCATCTCACCTGTGCAGGGTTGCCTGTCAGAGGCCAGAGCAGGCCACTCCTAAATTCTCTACCCCAACCTATAGAGCCCACAGGGCCAAAGAAGCTGCCAGCACTAGCACCTCCCTGGGCTTTTGAACCATGTCCGGCATGTCCCCGGCCCTGAAGACTGTTCCTCCCACCAGACCTCCCAGTCTAGGCCACTCTCTCCTCCCTCACCTTTATCTGGATATAGGAAGCCCAGCTCCTGTTGGGGCTTACTGGGCTATCTCAGGGTGTGAGAAGGAGGCATCCCAGTGCCCCATCAAGAATATCAGGAGCTCACCTTCCCCCCAGGCTTGCTCACCTTCCTCACTGCTGACTGCAGTGGCTGCAGGGACAGATGAGAGGGCTCCCGGAACACTGAGGGACACTTGCTTGTTGCCGGCCCTCTGTTCCTTAGAGCCTTCGCATCAGTTACTGATGTGTCTGAGGTGACAGCTGGAGTTTCTAAGGCAAAGTGATCCTCTGAGTAACCTGAGAAGGCCCCCCCCACCCCCGTTACCAGGCAGGCCAGCAGGATGGCTGGACAGATTTGCCACAGCCCAGGGTGGCAGGCCCCAGCTGCATAGTACTGGGGGGCAAGCAGGGTGCTCAGGCAAGAGTGGGGACTGGCCAGGACTGGGTCTTGGACCAAACCCTGCCCCATAGCAGCCACGGAGCTGGGCAAGTAGATCAAGAGGATTTAATTGGGGTGTTTTGGAGTAGGAGGTGTCACGTATCACTCAGTTTAGTGGGACCAGTGATGGCAAAGGTAGAACAGGCTGCATCGTGTATGTACTGATGAGACTCAAAGACCCCAAATATCCAGCCCTCACAGAGAACACCACTGCCCGCGCCCCACAGGCAGGCTTCATTGGCAGGGGCCAGGGAAACAAAAATGGTGTGTACGGGAGAAAAAATGCTGACCAGAGCACTTCTGGAAATAAGTGGAGTCTGTAAAACTAAAGCAATAGGGGGCCCTCCCTGGTGCCACGGGGGTTAAAGTCTCAGCATTATTAAGCTATCGCCAGCCACTGTGGCCCGAGTTCAATCCCCGGTCAGGGAACTAACCCACATGGCGCAGCAGACCTCTCCTGTCTTGCCCGCTGCTCCCCTCAGCAGTGTATTTCAGTCAATCCGCTTATTCTGCTCCCCACTCTGTCTCTGGTGAATCCCCTTACCACATACCCCCACCCCCGCACCTCTGACCTACACCCCAGTTGTATGAATAAATAAATAAAAATAAATCTTTAAAAGAGAGAGAGAGAGAGAGACTGTCACTCCCTGCCCTTAACTATGGGCTGCTCATAGTGATGTCCCTCCAAAGAGGACAGCGAGAAGACAGTGTGCTAGCAGTATGGGTGCAGCTTTACACTGGAGAAATCTGACAAACACAGCTGCAGTCAGGTGGTCAAGGTCAACATCCATGGGGATGAATCTGGTTGACAGCGTGTTCTCTTTGCCTGTGGTCCTCCTTCCAAAAACCCAGAACCAGTCTAACAATGAGATAGACACCAGGCAAGCCCAAATTGAGGGACATTCTGAAAATACCTGAATCTTCAAAACTGTCAAGGTCATCAAGAACAAGAAAAGTCTGAGAAACTCAAAGACTGGAGGAGCCTAAGGAGGCCTGATGACTGGATGCAATATGGGGTGGTGGGACCAAGAAAAGGGCATGAGGTTAAAACTAAGGAAATCTGAATTAGTTAATAATAATAGATGAACATTAGCTCATCCGTTGTGACAAATGTACCACAGGAATGTAAGGCATAAGCATTAGGGGATGTTGGGGCAGGGTGAAAGGGAATCTGTACCATCTTTGTAACTTTTCTGAAAATCTAAAACTATTCTAAAATGAACAGTTTATTTTTATTTTTTATTTATTTATTTTTTGAAAGATTTATTTATTTATCTATCTATCTATCTATCTATCTATCTATCTATCTATCTATCTATTTATTTATTTATAAAAGCACTGGGTACAGTCAGAAGCGCGGGAGGGTGAGAGAATTCACCAGAGCCAGAGCGGGGAGCAGAGCAGGCAGAAGGACTGAAGTACACTGCTGAGGGGAGCAGCGGGCGGCAGGAGAGGTCTGCGCGCCATGTGGGACCCTCCTCCGGTGGCTGGGGAGCAGCCGGGGATCGAACCGGGGCTGCAGAGGCTGCGGGCAGCTTCGCAACCCAACGCTCAACCGCTGCGCCACTGGGGAGGCCCTGAACAGTTTATTTTTAAATTCTCCTCTCTGATCAGGGAATGGGCATCAGGTTGGCTCCTAATAGGTCTCCATGACTGAGCTGGATGTTCTCCAGAGTTTGCTTTACTCAAAGGTGCTCTCTAAGTTTTGTATGTATGCATGTCTATGAGACAGATGAGAGAGAGAGAGAGAGAGAGAGAGAGAGAGAGAGAGAGAGAGAGAGGTGTTCTTTAGTCTTATGCATATTATATACTCTGCCAGGGAGCTTACGGTACATTTTCATCATAAAAAAAAAAAAAACAACAAAAAACACCAAAACAGAACAGTCAGTCAACAAGGATGTCCCCAGGGCACAGTAGAACAGGTTGTGGTGTTATAATAGAATTCATCTTCCAGCACAGCTCCAAATGTTTAACAGGCT